GATAACTTTAATCGCTGTCCTAGCCTATCTGCCATCTGCAGTTGAACTGTTGATTTGTACTTCTGCTGGTCTTCCTATATTGTAATCAGGGGTCATTTAGTAGAAAAAGAGCTAGGGGGACTCATTAGCATATGCCACACACCCTGACATCACCGGAAGTGTGTCCTCCCCACAGCCGGCAGCGACCTCCAGCGGGCACCAGCAGGGAGCTCCAGGCCCCGCCCTCCTGCACCTCACCCGGGGGGATGGCGTCCCCCCGCGTCCCCCCCCCAAATGACCCCTGATTGTAATACATACTTGCTGGCTTAGTTCATATTTTCTTGCAGATCAGTTTGTTATTTTTTTAATTATTAACTATTTTTCCCGTGTTTACTTTGTTTGCTATTGTTGCAAGCAGTTCTCCCCAGGGAGCAGAGTACAAATAAACTAAAAAATGAAATACTCTTCAAGTCTGACCCAGTATGTGTCAGAAGTTGATTTCTTAGAGTTTTTTAAACCTGATGGCTGGGCAAGCCACACAGAATGTACAGAATATTTCTGGGTATTGACACACAGTGCACAAAAGTCTTACATTAATAGTAAAGGAGAACTGTGTTTGACTCTGTTAGAAGCTAACACTGCAGTCCTAAACAGAATTGTGTGTGCGTTAAGTGCCATCAAGTCGCTTCTAACTCATGGCAACCTGACGAATGAATGACCTCAGAAACGTCCTATCATTAACAGCCTTGCTAAGGTCTTGCAGACTGAGGGCCGTGGCTTCCTTCCTTCAGTCAATCCATCTCATGTTGGGTCTTCCACTTTTCCTGCTGCCTTCAACTTTTCCTAGCATTGTTGTCTTTTCCAGTGATTTTTGTATGTTCATCATGTGACCAAAGTACAACAGTCTCAGTTTAATCATTTTAGCACCTAGGGAGAGTTTAGGCTTGATTTGCTCTAGAACCCACTCATTTGTCTTTTTGATGGCCCACGGTATCTGGAAAACTCTCCTTCAACACACCACATTTCAACAGAGTTACGCCCTTCTACATCCACTGAACTCAGAGGGCTCAGAATCATGTAATCTGCTTAGGCTCGCCTCCAAAGGGACCCTAGGTCCAATGGAGTTCAGTAATTTAAGTTCTACCTAAGCCCTAGTACACTACATACCACCAGACTCTTCCTCCCCAATTATTTATGGAAAGACACCATAAGGATTCAGTGAACTTTCCTTCAAAATAAATTGATCCCGCAAAGACCATCTTATGCTCCCCTTAAAAAGGAAAAGAGGGAAGCAAAGCTAAATACAGGCTTGCAAGTGTGCACCTACTGTCAACTTGGAACAGGTTTTACTTGGATGGCCATAGCATAGCACTACCTTGTTTTCCCTTCTGATGTATTCCACTGTGACTTTTGGAGCAGGTTTTAGGCTATGTCAAGCAAAGGCCACCAAGAGCAAAATCAGGCAAGAGCTTCTGCTGGCTTAAGGTCCACAGAAATGAATGGGAGTGGGGCAAAATCACAACAGAACTGGATCATATCCCAAGACTTCCTGAAAGAAAATTTTATTATGATGGCCACACTGGTGGTGGGGTGGTGGTGGTAGAAAGTGCCATCAAGTCACAGGTGATCTATGGCGGCCCCATAGGGTTTTCAATACAAGGTGGTTTGCAATTGCCTGCCTCAGTGTAACAACCCTGGACTTCCTTGGTGGTTTCCTATCCAAGTACTAACCAGGGCCAGCCCTGTTAAGCTTCTGAGATCTGACAAGTTTGGGCTAGCCTGGGCCATCCAGATCAGGGCAAGAGGGCCACAGTACCCAACTCAATATCCTGCCTCTGGTCACCAGAAGAGCACCATATGACAACATAACATCAATTCATGACATTGATATAATGCATTACTCTTGGAGTGAACTTTGCAAATTTTGCTGAGGAATTTTGACATTTCCACCTTGTAGTATAGGAGTGTCTGTGACAAAAAATAATCACCTTCCTTCCCACTGAGGGTAGACAGTTAGATTAAGAACCATTGCATTATTCTCCTCTGCCTTTTAGGCTATCGTGCAAAACGTTTTTATTCAGACAAGTATTCCAAGGTGGTTGATTTCCACAGATATGTGGCTACCAGACTGACTTTGGTTATATGACTATATGTGCGGCGTATATTTAGTAGCTGCTTTTATTCTACTTCACACTACCAATCTTGTTCTTGGCTACCACCACCTTTGATTTACATAAAGAGGAAGTTGGCAGGTAATGTGCACAAAAACAATAAATAAATATTACATTTCCAGATGACCAGGACAGCAGGTAACACAGAATGAAAATAATTTCATGGTTAAGAATCACTCGTCTCAAGAGTTTAGATTCAGGAGCATCCCTCAAAGAAGGAAATGGTGTGACCAGCATAATCTGTCAAACAACACTGCAAGTATCATGGCAACAAAGCTAAATGCAGGGTGCATACATTTAAATTCCTATTAATTTTCAAAGATCACTGGCACGTACTAAAGATAACTGACAGCTGTTGAGAGAAAGTACTGGGGGAGGAGATTTGATTAAACACAGGCCAACCCAAAAGACTTTGGAGGTATTTGCTTGTGATCATAACTTTATAAGAGACTATTTAAAGCACATATTCCCCCATATGATTATTTTTAAAGACCCTAAATTCTAGAAAATTACATGGTTAGATATTCACATTTGAATCAGAAATATAATGTAAAAAACATACTGATTTCAAGAAAATTGTGTATGTGTGTGTAATTGCAGAGAAGCAGCTGATGAACTACCAAGTCATTTTTCCCTCCATCAGACTTCAGTTCCACTTGAGATCTGCAGATTTTACATTGCTTATGAATACACTGATAAACAAAGGATTGTTTGGAACATCTGTAAGCAAACTATGAAGAGTTATTTCATAGTGAATGAACATCATGAGTTTCACATAATGCTTGCCAAAAAATGTGTATTTGTGTATTGAGTCAAATGCACTGGAAATAGCCCAAAACACTTATCCATTGCAAATGGCTTTTCACATTTGCATCTGTAGGACAATTTACTTTGATGTAAAAATAATCCTTTATCTGGGTATTCATCAGTCCATTGCATCCTGGTATCTGTCTTACCAGCAGAAAAGGTGATATGCATAGCAACTGGTCACACATGTTCAATTATAATATCATAGCCAAGGCACGTGGTTCACTTCTGGTTTCTGACGGCAGTGCAGAAAAAAAAAATAGGATTCAAATGTGCTGAGGACATAACTTAATGAATGGCGTATCTGATTTTAAGACTGGTGTAGATGATAAGACATTTTGATGGAACACTAAAAAAAACCCCACATCTTGAATTAGATTCCAATGGTTCTCCTCTACTAAGAAATCTCTCAATGGAAGAGATTGTCTTTCTAGAACTTCTTCCGACTGGAGGAATCATCTCCTAACAGAAGATTCCTCACTTAGCTAAGGAGAACCAATGGATCCAACTCTTTAGCTCATCTTTGTTGTAAAAGCGGCTGCATCTCATTATCTGAAAGGGGATGCTTTGGGGCAATTCCTCGATTATGCTTGGCTGGGGAAAATTTGAGGTGCATCCAGTATTCTGTGTTACACTTCAAGGGATCTGGGTACATCCCCCAGACTGCAGAATTCTGCTCTATTTATGCTCCTAAGGACAAGGAGACAGCAAAAGGAAAAAAAAGTATAACCAAAAACAAAGGGGGGCAGAACTCCTTTATCTTTAACTGTTGAATTATAAGCTTTCAGAGCTTTCATATCAACTGTACACAATCAATTAAAGATGTGTGGTACCTTTGGTGGTGGAATGTGCTGTCAAGTTGCAGCACACTTATGGCAACCCTGTAAGGTTTCCAAAGCAAGAGATGAAAAGAGGTGGCTTGCCATTCCGTGCCTCTGCATTGCAACCCTGGACTTCCTTGCTGGTCTCCCATCCAAGAACTAACCAGGGCCAACCCTGCTTAGCTTCTGAGATCTGAAGAGATCAGGCTAGCTTGGGTTACCCAAGGCAAGCCACATAGTATCTTTGCAGCCCTCAATTTCAAAACTCAGCTGGTCTTTTAAAAATGAATGGATGGATACTGTTTTTTATCTGTTTTTATATTTTTGCAACTACATTAAATTTTAATTTGCAAAACCAGAGATACTATTGTTATAAAGGTACAGAAGAGATTAATGGTCAGGGCTGTGTATATTCCACAAGCACTCTGTACAAATTCTAGATAGCACAGCCTGTCAAGATATATAAAGTGTGTAGCTGCTGCAATTCCTAATGAAACAAGTATCAGACGGACGGGGGGGGAGGAGGAGGATGCTAAGCAAAATCTCCAGTCATCAAGGGGCAATGTTTTAACACCATACATAACTTCTCTTCCTCTCCCCTCCAACACAATCACTAGCAGAAGCAGAATAAATTATGCAAAATAAGAAGACCTCTACAGACATGCTTAATTTTTGATTTCCGTTGAGAAGGGTCTTGGAAGCACAAAGCTGAGAAAGAACTTTGCTTCAGGCCTTGATGAGCTGTTCCCAGTCAGAATAGACCGCCTGGGCTTCTCTTTACTCACTACAGTGCAGCTTTGACAGTGGAGCTGAGACTATGGAACACACCCGCCCACCCTTTCTTGACGATGTTTCAGCGCCAGGAAAAAAGTGGTGCTCTTAAGAGTTTTAGTGAAACCCAGGAAGGTGTATCAGCCGCCAGAGTTATGCTCTTGTATTAGTCTCTGCCTTATACAGTTGAAATTTTTGCTGATTTGCTCTGCCATGGTTTATTTTGAATAATCTTGTTGTTTTATGCACTTTTGTGACTCTGTTTTTAGCTTCAGTGGTTCTAACCATCTGACAGACTTATCTAAAGGAAGAAGACAAATAGCTTATATACAGCAATATTCATATGTCAATTGCCTTAATCTTCAGCTGTAGTTTCATCTCAGCCTTCTATGATTTCTTTTTAACTTCAGAATGGTCCAAGGCTCATGATCCATGAAACAAACAGACCTACCTGAACAGACCTCTTCATAGGTGGGATTTAGGGTATGTCCTCCTGCATAGCCCACTTGAGTTGAGTAGACTCCCTTCTGCCTCCAAAATTTTCTTTCTGCTCCCCAGAAACAGCCCATACCTGCAAGAAACAAAATCCAAAGTGCTATGATGATTAGCATACTTACAAGTTCACCTCTTCACTCAAAACACCAAGGACTTGGGGCAACACATAACAGAGCTAAAAACACATCTATAAAAAAATACAACAAAACAACACTGTGTACTAGAACAGTGGTTAAAAAAAACCCAGATGGGGCAACCAGGTGCCTGCACCCTTCAAAACAGAACAGAAGGTATTCAGAAAGTAAGTCAACCGGAACTCTCAAGAGGGTGCCATTCCATAAAGCATGTGCTACAGAGAGGTCCCAGCTCTGTGACCTCTTGTATCCCACAGTAAAGGAAATGATGCGGGGCAAAGAGATCAAAGCCTCTCCAGGTTACCTCAGTGCATGGAGAAGACTTAGGTACTGTCTAGGGCAGGGGTGTTGATCTCATTTGTTATGAGGGCCGGATCTGACATAAATGAGACCTTGTCAAGCCAGGCCATGTGTGTCATAAAATGTAGCGGAGATATAAACTTTATAAAGGACAAAAAACACAAAGTTTTTTTTTACTTAAAACAAAAGCATGCTTAAAACATTAGCTCTGTAAGCTGCAAACCTACTTTTGATTTATTGACATTCACCACAGAAACCTCATGCTCAGAGTTCTGAGTCTAGGACCCAGGTTAAAACATGAAATGGCTGAGTGATTAAGAGAGTCTGGTGAAGCAAACTATGATGCAGCTGCAGCAGCAGAACTGGAAGCAGGAGATGGCTAGTTCCACAATGGGCCTGATGGAAGCCCTCTGGGGGCCTGATCCGACCCCCAGGCCACATGTTTGACACCCCTGGCCTAGGGTATGCGGGACTCTGGCATTAAGGACTTCAAAAGGGAGAAACGGCACCTTGAACTTAGCCTGTTTGTAAATTTGCAGCCATTGCAGCTAGACTGATGTGATCTTCTCTGTGCTCTGATTTAAAAAAAAAAAAAAAACCAGCTGCTGCGTCCTGCACTACCAGAAGTCTCCAAGTGATCTTCAAGGGCAGCCTAGCAAAGAGCCCATGACAGCAGTTTGAAAAGAGCATGATATTTGCATAGAAGATGGAAGCAGGATCAGTGAGGTAAGGATCACTGCTGACCCACCTGCCCAAGCTGGAGCGGGGGGTGGGGGGAAACCCTACTGCTACCTGTACATCCTCTGAGATCGGGGATGCTCCATCGTCTGGTAGTTCCAGGCCCCCGAGTGGTGAGGTTGGCCCACACAGATCTAGGGCGTTTTCGGTGGCGGCTCCTTCCTGGTGGAATGAGCTCCCGGAGGAGATCCGGGCCCTGCGGGACCTAGTGCAGTTCCGCAGGGCCTGCAAGATGGAGCTCTTCCACCAGGCCTTTGGGTAGGAGCCGCCGCCACCACCACCACCATCATCGCCTCACCACCGCCGTTGTATTGTCCTTCTACCAGACTCCATGGAGGTTGATTAGTTTGTTGCATCGGGGATGCTTCTATTGTCAAGATCACAGGCAGCAAATAATCGCCGAGTATCTGTAAATGGTATATAGACTGAAGCACCAGTTTTTATTGTATTTTAAAAAAACGTATTTTATTGTTTTAGTATTTGTATGCTGTTAGCCGCCCTGAGCCACTGGGTAGGGCGGGATAGAAATCCCATAATAAATAAATAAATAAATAAAACAAATAACAAGGCACAGCAGGATGGACATGCGTTCTTTGTGAGGGGAGGGGTGACCCCCATCAAAAACCTCACATCTGCCAGTCAACTGACAGCCATCTAACTATCAACAATTATAAGGACTGGGCAGGCTCACATTTAACCCCCACCTGGGCCAGTCACACTAGCTCAGCCTAACTATCCTCAAAAGGTTGTTATGAGGATAAAGTGGAGGAAGGGAAGAGGAAGGCAGGAGGAAAAATAATGTTATGTATAAAGAGAGAGGTGAAGAGAATAAACACACATGAATCCGCATTGTCAGTGTTTTAATTTTTATTTACTAGCCCTCATTCAGCACATAACAGAGTTCAAGCACCTGCTCAAAGGACTAACAAATAGCTGCTCCTAGATCTAATTAAAAAACAATTAAGCATTTCTCTTTCTAGCAGCTTTTCAATAATGAAGGCCATGAGCCTCAAAACCCTTACTCTAAATCAGCACCATTTTTGTCAAAAAAAAATTGTTTTTTCAGCATCTGACAAACTGGACTGTAATCTATGAAACCTCACACTATTAGAGTATGAGTTATTTTTAATTTTTATTTAAATTTTATAAATGTACAGATATTAATACAAAACAGAAAAAGAGAATTTATCTTTTATGAAGATACAAAAAGCTTGTGTTTTTGTTTTCAGTATACAACCAAAGACTCTGAACTTGGCTTCAAGAGAGTAACCTTAAAGTATCTCCCAAGATAACTCTTTCGAGGAACTTACAGATGCAATCCTAAAAACACTACTCTGGGAGTAAGCCTCATTGAATAAAAAAGGAGTTACATCTCAGCAGACGAGCTTAGGATTGTTACCTGCATAATTTTGCCATCATATAGCTAGGTTTTTTCCAAGATTTGTTGCAAATACGTAAATCTTTGTTTTCATTAAACAAAAGTGGTTTGTCATCATTTTAGAAGGTACCTTTTTACCGGAAGTATTTTCTGGCTTTCAAAATGTGCAACCTTTAGTGAACAGAATCCCCATCCACACAAAAGCTTTAGGCTTGGTTAAATAGCAATGGTACACATTTTTACAGCATAATTTTCTTTTAGCTGATTAGCAAACTGTCAAAACACAATAATTTGTATTAATGGCAAACATTCATTTAATGTTCTGCTTCCTGGCATCTGCAATCTTTAAAGGTGGCAGAGCAATAATTAACTAAATTAGAGACATTCATACAGGAAGGGGGGGAATCCTCTCAGGCTAGCCAATTTATGCATGCAAATAATATTCAAAGTGCACATAAAAATGAAGCATTCATTCACCGACATGGCCAGTTAACCAAGTCAGTCAGAATCTCAATTCAGCAAAATTCTACTGACTTCGAAAGTTTCGCCAATCATCAAGATTTGCAGATAAGAACTACTAAACATCTAACCAGCAGAAAGGATATGGCAACTATAGCAGCTCCATATATAGAACCTCTGCTTCACACATACACATAGCTCAGTAGGATGCCATAAAATTTGCATGCACATGATTCTCAGTTTAATCCCTGGCATCTCCAGGTGAAAGGACCTCAGGGAAAACCCTGCATGAGACTGCAGAAATCTGTTGTACAGCAGAGAGGGAGGGAGAATACTGGATGAGATGAACCAGTGATTTGACTTGGTATAAAGGAGCTTCATATATCATCCATATGTTTCAATGAGCTAGGTTCAAAGCCCCCTTTTTCTAAGCTGTTTTAAACAATGCCATCACCCATGCATTATTACTGGGTTCAATGTTTATTTTGAACCACGAGAACTTGATGGGGGGCTGGGTTCTACTGGACATCCTGAGATGTATTTAATTTTTTTTTTACCAGAGTGATTTAGCCCAGGTCATCTCTTTGAGTGAATCATAATAGTTCTGTTGCCTTCTTTCAATATCAAAGTTGCTTTGAAAACTCAGTTAATAGAACAAAGCTATACCTGCCATCAAATAGATCAGAAAGACACGGCCTGTCTTTGAAACTTCAGAAACTAACTTCAAACCAAAGTCATGTTCTCTGGCCAGCTCTTATCTTTGTTGCTGGTTGAAATGTAAGAAAAACAAAGAGACAATATCACTGACAATCTAAGAAGTAGTGTACATCCAGAATGTTCTTCATCCAGTCCTAGATAAAAGGACTAAGGGAAATTAATGTGGAATCGTATTCTGGGTCTCAGAGCGCTCTGATTCCCAAGAAGTTTGAATATTGGTTCAGATCACAAAACTGCATCCTTGTGATGCCCAAACCAGAGACATATGGGTCCAGTAGCACCTTAGAGACCAACAAGATTTTCAAGGTATTACCCCTGTGTTCCCTTTCCTCCTTAGCAATCTCTTCTGACCTCACGGAAGGTGATTCCTAGGGTTGCAGGGCCCCAGGTTCGTGGGCTGCCATGAAGAAGGGGAAGGGGGCAAAATCGACCTTCCATCCCTTTTCTGTCAACAGAGCTGTGCATGCGTTTGTGCACACAGACACAGTCTCTTGTCAATCTGATCTAGCAGGATATTCTTACATGATCCCAATGCGATCTCATGAGACTTTTTATGGAAAATACTGAGCCATAACTCCAAACTACCCAATACCTCGACTCTTAATTAATTAAAGTTACTTGGATAAATTATTAGGGACTGTGGCGTATACTAATGTATATAGCTTTATGTCAGTAGGAACCTACTATGTAAATTTGCATCACTTAACGTGTCAGGTTAACACTTATGCTTTTCTTCAATTCTGTTTTTAGATTTCTGGTGGGCCCCAGGTTCAGTCCCCGGCACCTCCAGTTAAAAGGAATGAAGCAGTAGGTGATGTGCAAGACCTCAGCCTGAGACCCTGGAGAGCCTCTGCGAGTCTGAGCCGACTATACTGACTTTGATGGACTGATGGTCTGATTCAGTAGAAGGCAGCTTCATGTATGAAACCTGGTCTTATTGCATTGTTTACTGAATTTCCCATCCTGTTAATTGTACTGAGTCATTCTCAAGGCGTAATCTGCCTTGAGCTCCAGTAAGAAAGCAGGACTCTCCCAAAATACTAGAATTCGAGGGCATCCAATGAAGCTGATGGGCAGTAGGCTCAGGATGGACAAAAGGAAATACTATACACAGAGAGTGATTAAAATGTGGAATTCACTGTCAGAGGATGTATTGATGGCCACAGGAATAACCTTTAAAAGGGAATTAGATAGATGCATGGAGAATAAGTCTATCAATGGCTACTAGCCATGGTGACCGAGGTGAACCGTCACATTCAGAGGCACTAAACCTCTGTACCCCAGGGCCAGGAAGCAACATCAGGGAAAGGCCTCAGCCTCTATGGCCTATTGTTGGCCCTTCACAGGAACTGACTGGCCACTGTGTAGGACAGGATGCTGGACTAGACTGACCATTGGTCTGATCCAGCAGGGCTCTTCTTATGTTCTTTTTACTATAAATCACCTAAATAAATAAAAAGAAATACCTCTGATGCACCAGACACAAAGAAATCACAAGCTATATATTTATTCACATGATATATCCAAGCCTGCCATTAATCCAACAGGCACTTTCCTTTTCTTGTATCTAATAAAAACTCTGTGATACATTGATCTTGAGCTGTGAATAGTTGTTGTTAATCGCTTACTGTTGTTAATCACTTATCACGCAATAGACAAAAGGAGTAAAAAAAACTGTGACTGCTAGAGTTCTTTTTGGATCCCTGTCAGCAAACAGTTGTGTAACTAGGTCATAGGAATTTACATCAGAATGAGCTTGCAAACATGGTGAAATAGAATGCCTCATGAGATTAGCATACAAAGGACACTCCAGAAGGAGATGTGTAATTGTGTCAATCTTACCTAAGGGACAGAGGCAGGTTCATTCTGAATAAGCTAAACGTATGAGCCTACCCCTCATAACTGCCGAGGAGTGAAGATTTAGTCTGACCAGAGTGAACGCCCTTAACAGGCTTTGGGAAGTCAACAGACAGGTGTAGATGGGAAGAGATTTTGGGGGGAATACCAAAAAATTGGGATGAACAAGTATAGCATGCTCTAAAAGAAGAGCTTTGGTGATCTATTAATTTTACACAATTTGTCACCAAAGCAAATGCTGCATGAAAGCCCAGAACCTAGATAGTGTCCAGGTTAACAATGAGAGCCCGAAATTTCCCAAAGACAGTCTTAAACCATGTTGACCTATAAGAGACCTCTTTGAGGAGTGCCAGGTCGCCCTTGCAGCTCAAATATGTCTTGATGCACAGTCTAAATGCTTGTAACCAAGCCCTTGCCTCAAGGGAAGGTTGGGCCAGTTCTGAATGGGCAGTCATGCTGGCTATGCATTGAAGAATGTTTAATAACTTCCACAGAAAATATAAAAGGAAATGGTCAATCAATACTTTCATTTACCGAGACAATCCTTATGGCTACTCCATAAAGAATAATAGAGATTCCTTTTAGGTTAAAGACTTGAACAGCAGCTGGAACATAATTCCCACCTCCATTTCAGGAAAAGAGAAAATATACTGTCAGCACGGGTTTTTCCTTTTTCCTTATCAGTGACTGATGTGGCCCCCATTTTAGATTATATTAGAAAAGGATGCCCAAATATGAATATTCTTTTGCTTGCTGGATTTCTTCACCATTCAGAGTCCATCTGAACACTGAAGGATTCATTTTTTGAGAAAACAACTACTTTAGTTTTCTGGTAGTTTATTTTGAGGCATTCCTTAATGCAATATTCAGAGAAAATTTTTAGTGATCTCTGAAGACCAACTCTCATCCAAGAGAGCAGAGCAGTATCATCAGCGTAAAGGGTGCTTTCCTTCCAAAACTAATCCAAGTAGAATAGTTGAGAATTTTATACTTCTTATTATACACTGATAATCAAAAAATCTCGGGGGGTGGGAGAGTGTTAACAGCTCTCATTGATTTGGGATCTAATTCAATGCACTTTAAGATGGATAAAGAAGATACAAACTCAGAAGGAAGATGAATGAAAAATACTGCCAGGCTTAAAAATACAATTCCACTACCTCGGGAAACAAGAGTATAAAAGGGGGCATAAACAGGCTCTACAAGGTGCTAGAGGAGACACAGCCCACGGGGTCTATCATTGTATTACCCTTTTCCCCAGTAACAAAAACAGAAGATAAAATATATGAAAAGATAAAGATGTGATCCTTTTGAAATAAGAGAATGTTAACACAACTTCAATCAAGGACAGTTTCCCCTTATTACACCACAGTGTACTTCAAAAACTGTCCTTGGTAATGTCACAGTGACTGCAAGTGTTTTGAAGGCATCTGGAGTCCAATGCCTTTGTTTCTCTGTGCCTCGTATAACCATCCTCCCAGTGCAAAATGAAGACATGTCAGATCAAAAATGAGAACGTTTTCAACCGAAACCCTTTATTCTTACTTTGTACTCGTGTAAATAAAGATGGGAATAGTAAGAATGGCAAATAATTTCTTTTGAGATATGCAGAAAAGGCATTTGATCTCGAGAATGAGAGAAGTCTTTGTTTAGGGGAATAGGCCCAACTGCATAACATGGGAAGTGTTCATAGCAAACGCCACTCGGCCTGTTCATCTTTAGACTGGCAATTTTCAACTTGCTGCTCAGGGGCTACTGGGTTCTTCCAAGCCACAAACTGAGGCTGTGTGAGCCCTGACAAAATGTTGTTCCCAAGCACCAGATAGGGTTTAAAGTTAAGCAAGTAATGACAAATATGATGATGCTTTAGGCTGGTCCTATATTGGGCAGGGGGTTGGACTAGGTGGTCTGTATGGCCCCTTCCAACTCTATGATTCTATGATTCTAAGAGCAACAAAAGTCCCTGTATGGCAAGGTCTGGAGTTGCCTTCCTCTTCAAGGGAGTTCCCTAGGGCCCCAGTGCTTGCAGCAGATTTTATCCCTATTAAGTTTTAGTCATGGAACATGGAGAGCTGAGTGCCACACAGTATTTGGAGTTGGGCAGGACCAGAGGAGAGAGAAAGAAGATTGAGGGAAAGAGCAAATGCAATCCACGTCACAAAAATGGCTGAGTATTTTATTTATTTTATTTATTTATTAGAATAATAAATAATAAGTAAATATTTTATGGGGAAACACAGGAAATGAGAGATCTCTAGATCATTCGGGTTTTGTTTACATGAACAGTTATGTCTGTTTAATAATAATGCTAATGCACAGAGTTTATACATTGTAGGGAGGAAACGGACAATGGCCTCCTGTTTCTAAAAAGAGCCTGAACTGTACAGAACGTCAGTGTGCACCCTCTGGTGTATCACCTACAGGAGCATTCAGTAGCACTTGTGTACTTCAGAAAGAAGCTGCAAAAGCAAAGGAAGCCATGTAATAGTCCCAGTCAGGGCTTTTTGTGTAGAAAAAGCCCAGCAGGAACTCATTAGCATAATAGGCCACACCCAACAGCAGAAACTCATTAGGATATTAGGCCACACCCCTGACAACACAGCTCATTGGCATATTAGGCCACAAACACCCATGTTACCAGAAGTGTGGTCATCCAGTCACACCCACCTTTTGCTTCTTATTCTGTTTACTTTGTTGTCAAAACCCTGGGCTTTTTTTGTAGCAGGAACTTATTTGCATGTTAGGCCACACACCCCTAATGTAGCCAAGCCTAATGAGTTTCTGCTGTTAGGTGTGGCCTATTATGCTAATGAGTTCCTGCTGGGTGTGGCCAACTCAGGAGTCGGCCGGAACTCCATTCCTGTGCGTTCCTGCCCAAAAAATAGCCCTGGTCCCAGTTATGTTGACTGTCAGCAGCCAAGAATTTTTGCAACATTATTTATTTATTTATTAGATTTTTTTACCCCGCCCTTCCGGCAGAGCCAGCTTACACAACCAGTATAAAACACTGGCTGCTAATATTTCTACCTTCCTATTGCTGGCATGGCACAGCTTCCAATCTGGGGTGTAAATGCAATGAAATGAGAAGTAGGGTTGCACAGAAGACCATGGGTACAATCCTGTGTTGCTCATATAGCACTTAGCAGTAGATTTGATAATACAATTAGAATTTTTTTCCTAATTAGCTGTTCTCTTTTTTCACTTCACCTGCAGTTTCCCTGTTAAAATTGTAAAGAAGCCCTTGCCTCAGCAATAGCCTTGCAGATCCATCTTGAGTAATTCAATGCCTAGTTAACACCTGAACCCTTGGAGATCCCCTGTTCCCTTCAGCATAGAGGGCTGATAAGTGTTTGGGTGTGAGCTCCTCTGCATATGTGGACTCTGTGCTCCAACTGACAAGCTAAAAGTACTATGGTTGGCTACAGGAGATTTAGATTCAAACCCTTAGTAGGAGAGGGGTGGTGGCTCAGTGGCAGAGCACCTGCTTGGCATGCAGGAGGTCCCAGGTTTGGTCCCGGACATCTCCAGTTAAAAGGGTCAGGAAGTAGGTGACGTGAAAGGCCTCTCTTGAGACCCAGAAGACTCGTTGCCAATTTCAGAAGACAATACTGACCTTGACGGACCAAGGGTCTGACACTATTGTAAAGCAGCTTCATGTGCTCAGTCATGAAGCTTACTAAGGCCCCTGCCACACGGCAGGGAAAACACTGGGGAAAGTGCGGCTTTTAAAAGCCGCACCAAAGTTGAGACGCCGCGGCGGGATCCCACGGATCCCCTGAGCTGCGGCGCTCCCCGGCATGATCAGATGCCAGGGAGGAAGACACGAATGGGAGGGGGAGGCTGCCAAACTGCGCATGCTCAAGCATGCGCAGTACAGCCGGGGATGCGCCAGCGCAAGGACGCGCCGGCGATCCCACGGCCAGATCCCATGGCCAGATCCCACGGCCAGATCCCACGGCCGGCGATCCCACGGCGATCCCTAGGTAGGTGGTTCTTTTTTAGTGCAGGGTTTGGGGCGGGAGGGACGAATCGGGGACGGACAGGCAATGATTCCCAGATGTTACCGTGGGATCGCGTCCGTTTGCTCCGCCCCCAATCCATCCCGCTCCCGGCCCAAAACCCCTCATGCGAACAGGGCCTAAGTACCCTTGGACAGGTCACAGAGCTGTTGTGAATGACATAAAAGAACAACAAAGATGAGACATCGCAAAGTACTTTTTACACTGCAATGCATTGCAGCAACAGCAATGGACCCAAATGGACACACCCACTCATAGGAGTCACTCTGTAAGTGGAAGGGCACCTTTGGATCTGACCCCCACCATCAATAAACAAACGTCAGAATAACTTACCAAATATTGCCATGTGCATTCCCTCTGGAAAAGGTTCAACTATACAGTTCCCATTGACATGGTGTTTACCTGAAATGTAAGAAAATATGAGCCTGTTAAGTATTTTTTTAAAATTTCACAGACACAAATCTTTATGCTTTCTGTAAAATATTTAGCACTATTGGAGCTCAAATGTCCAATGGCAACAATGACCATTATTATATTATTATAATTACAGTAATGACAATTACAGTTAATGGATTTTAAAATCATATTTGTTCACATCCTTGGATCAATGTTCAACCCCGTGGGCCGGTCTGCAGGCACACTTGAACACTGCATCTTTCTTCTCGAGACTGAGCCCTATGAAACATGTATCAAGTACTATGCTGGAAACAGATCTGATCCTTGGCCAATGCACTCCAGTAGCACAACGGGATATAGAAAGACTGAAGCTATGAATGCCAAGCAAACACATTAATGGGGCTTGTGGAAAGGCTTTTTAGAAGCGTGGTATTTAAAAAAACAGAAGTAGCCTGGTGCGTTAACAAGGGGAGAGATTATTCTCTGCATTGGGGTACCTGATTATCAGAACAACAAACATTGGAACCTGACAGAATTTTTACTAGGATCACAAAGTACTTTTGCCTTCATTGCTTGAGCACTGTCCATGAGTACCTCACTGCAGCTGAAGTGCTTTTTCAATCATTATTAATTTCATTTCCAACACACAAATAATGAAACTTCAAACACTTCTCCAATCAGCTTTGGAATCAATCAGTGCACTGGTCTGAAATCAACAAAATGTGCCGGCATTTCCCCCCCACCTAAAGTCATATTAGAGATTTCATCTAATCAAATCCTCAGTTCTTCTCACCCATGACTGACTACTGACCAATTTCCATTCCACCTCAGCTCTCTGCTCAGCAAGACTCTTCCCCTTTCTCTCTGAGAAACCATTCACAGCAGATATATCTGTGAACTGCAATTTAAATGCTAGTAGGACGACTTCCTTCACATTCAAGCTACTGACAGAGACCATAGTTTGTCCAATGGCCACGGGCACACTGTACATTTCCAATTACTGGTAAAATAATCTTCCCATGGG